GGGGGGGGACTGGGAGTATAATGTCGGGGAGAGGAAGGGACTGGGATTATAATGGAGGGGGGGGACTTGGAATATAATGGGGGGAGGAGGGGGTGACTGCGTATCAGTATATATTGGGCTAGTGTGCAACTGGAGGGAAATATATGGGGCAGGAGAGAATACAATTTGTAGGGTAGATAAAGCAGGGAATTGTGGGCGTTAATATAGAGGGTTAAAAGGGAGTGGTCAGTTGAGATATAGGGGGTAGTTTTGTGCTGTATATTGCAGAGTGGTGGAGAAGGTAACTAAATGAACAGGATGAGGGACTATATTGGGGCAGTAACGAGGGGGTGTATATTGGGACAAGAGTGGGTGCAAGTGAGTAAGAGCTGTATATAGGTGTACTATGTTTATGACTATTGCAGCATAGTTGTATTGGTGTGTGGAGGTCCGTGATGTGCTCTGGGTTCCTACCATCTTGATGTTTTTCAGGGTCTTCACATTTAATTTCCTGCCCCCTCCATTTTCTGGATAATGTCAGAAGGTGAAGGGAAGACTGCGTCACTGGCTCCAGGTACAGGATCTGATCCCAAACTTGAAAATGTGGCCTCAGTGTCTCCTCCTGTAAGTGCTCCTGCTGTTCCCACCCAGGATGAGGAAGAAGAGGAGAGTGAAGACGAGTCAGAGATCCTGGAAGAATCGCCCTGTGGAAGATGGCAGAAAAGGCGTGAGGAGGTGACATTTTGTTATATTTGGTCACTAAAACTAAAGGGGTACTTCAGACAATAGAATTATTGTGTTAGTACAGTTTTTATGGTGCCTAAGGTGTCGTGGTGCTGCCCCAGTTTAACCGCAAACCTGAATTAACACTTGGAATTGTCTGTGTTAGCTCTGTCTAACTTGTAAACCAGACTCACTAAGAGACTGATTAAGCACTTGAATGGTTTAGACTACCTTCCCCTTAATGCTCCTACAGCAGTAATGCTGTCTTAGAATTCCGGGCAGAAGTCCACAACATTTACCTAGTGCAGAGGTAGGCAACCTTTACCATTGTAATTTGATAAGTAATAAAATAGCATGACTTGCATGGTTGCTTAGAGAAAACCTTTAAAGGGTTACTCCAAGCATCATTCCTTCTACAGTCCCTTATAGTGGTTATGATGCTAGGAGCACCCTGGTTTTGTTCCTTGGTAAAGGGGCAAAACGTTTAGCAACAGTTTCCCCCCTTACCTGGGTTCCCTCCGGGATCCTATGCTCCCTTGTGGTCCAGAGATGAGTTTCTGGACACCGTGATTGGCAAACTAGCACAGAATTGCCATTAGCCCGGATACTAGAGTGAGTGACTGATTACACCTCTGTGACCTTTGCTGTGTGTGGAATTACACCTCTGACAGCAGAGGGATTAATCACTGTATACGCGGACTTCAGGCACCATTACCACTTTAAATCACATATCCCTTTTCCTGGCACTGCAGGACCCTGCAATGCCCCTCCCACCTGCCATCCCATGTTGCTGAACGGGATAAAACCCCTTCAGTGATTTAACTGAATCTAGCACCGATGTCCCTCTGCACCTAGTCAGGCTCCGCCAACGCTCCTCCCCCACCAATGTCAGTCGGCGGGGGAGACCTACTGTGCATATGCGGCAATGGCCGCACGCATTAGACCTCCCCATAGGAAAGCATTATTCAGTGCTTTCCTATGGGGATTCCGGTGACGCTGGAGGCCCTCATGCATAGCGTGAAGACGTCCAGTGTCGTTTAAAACACTTTGCGTTTTCTAACAACGCTGAAGTCACTCTAATGGCTGTCTGATAGACAGCCACTAGAGGAGGACTTAACCCTGCAAGGTAATTATTGCACTTTATAAAAACTGCTATAATTACACTTGCAGGGCTAAAGGTGGTGGGAGTTGGCGCCCAGACAACACCTATGGACAGAAGTGGTCTGGGTGCCTGGAGTGTCACTTTAAGTTGTCATGGTGCTTGGAGTAAGCCTTTAAAGCAGGGCTGCCCAACAAGTATATCCCCAGATGTTGAACTACAACTCCCATAATGCTTTGTCATTCTAAAGGCATTAAAAGCATCATGGGAGTTGTAGTTCTACAACATCTGAAGATCTACCTGTTGGGCAGCCCTGCTTTAAAGTTATCCATCCTACCTGAACCCTGACATCAATAGCTTATTCTTTACACACCAGCTTCTGCCCACCCCTGCTCATTGTATGAATTCCCACCACGGCTTCTCTCTCCCCTGCTCATTGTATGAATTCCCACCCCGGCTTCTCTCTCCCCTGCTCGTTGTATTTATTCCCACCCCGGCTTCTCTCTCCCCTGCTCGTTGTATTTATTCCCACCCCGGTTTCTCTCTCCCCTGCTCGTTGTATGAATTCCCACCCCGGCTTCTCTGTCCCCTGCTCGTTGTATGAATTCCCACCCCGGCTTCTCTCTCCCCGGCCCGTTGTATTGATTCCCACCCCGGCTTCTCTCTTCCCTGCTCGTTTTATTTATTCCCACCCCGCCTTCTCTCTCCTCTGCCTGTTGTATGGATTCCCACACCGACTTCTCTCTCTCCTGCTCGTTGTATGGATTTTCCCTTTCATCTGACAGCTGCTGCATGTAGAGCTGATGGGCATAGTGACTTTATAAGTGGTAGAGTGGTCAGCCTTAGCGTATTGTAATTTGTATTGTTTGTGCTTTGGTGCAAAACCAATCAGGTTAGGTCTGATTCTAAAGTGTTTTCTCTAAACCAAGTAAAGTATTAACCCTGTTTATAAGACTGTGCTCCTGCCGTGGTCGTGTGGTTTGACGTACTGACCTATAGTTTCCTGCATCCCTCCTGGCTGCCTGCCACGCACATACTCTGTACTGAGTCATCTGCTCTGATGTATTCATTGCTGGTCTTATTGCTGTGCCTTCGCTTCTCTCGGTCTGTAATGCCCCCAGTGAGCTGATGCAGAGGATTCTGTGCTCCATCTTGCCATCCTGCTGCCGTCTGCCATTCCTCTGGCTCTCTGTGTATGGGCGTATACACCATGCAAGTGATTTAACTTCTTTAGTTACCGACCAACCTTTATGGTGTGAAAGAGAATCCCTGAGCATGCACGCTGTACAGAGAAGGATTGGTACGAGTGTTTAAGGGTTTACCTTTTATGTGGAGCACACTGGAATGGCAGTTCAGGACTCTAGAGGGTGAAGAGTTCTGGACTGGGGGGAGGTCTATGGACTCTGGGGCAGTGAAGAGTACTTCTCCCTCTTGGTATTTTGGACTCAGGTTTCAGGGGTCAGTTGGTAGTTCTGGGACAGTGAGGTTAGCTGTGCCTTTTTTTCTTTCTTTCTTTCTTTTTTTTTTCTGTAGGTTAACCAGCGCAATGTCCCCGGGATTGACAGCGCCTACTTGGCAATGGATACAGAGGAAGGAGTTGAGGTGGTTTGGAACGAAGTGCAGTTCTCTGAACGCAAGAATTTCAAGCTGCAAGAAGTATGTGTTGGCATTCAGGTGTTCTGAGCATGACTAGAACATTGCCAACGAGAACCACTCACTATTCCCTATTTCTGTCTGCAGGATAAAGTTAAAGCTGTGTTCGATAATCTCATCCAACTGGAGCATCTCAACATTGTCAAATTCCACAAATACTGGGCTGATGTGAAGGAGAACAGAGCAAGGGTAAGAGGACAGGGTGCTAGGAGAGAGCTGGAAAGTTGGGGGCTGCTTATTATGATAGGGGCAAGGTGGAGGGGGGGGGGGGTTTCAGTTTACTGGGGCGATTGCGAGTGACTAATAGACGCATGTGGAGTAAAGAACTGGGTGCTAGCCATTGGCTGAGTGAGCGTGACTAACAGATGTGAAGTTTTGGTATGTGCTAGTATAGAAAGACAGGATTGGAATCTTAGAGTCTTGGTTATAAGAATGTGTTCTGTATTTCAGGTAATCTTCATCACAGAGTACATGTCTTCTGGCAGTCTGAAACAGTTCCTGAAGAAGACCAAGAAGAACCATAAGACCATGAATGAGAAGGTACCTGGAGAGCGAGAACCTGTCTTAGGGACAGGGAGACTCTCTTAGCATGAATAATGCTTATTGGCCAGGACTGTGGTTGACTCTGACCCTGATCTACCTCCTTGACACTCAGCCAACCCTATGAGAAAGCATTGTGATTTTCTCAGAAAAACACTTCTGAAGATATCAGCCAAGCAGGAAGATCGGGGCAGAGGCAGCAGCTGCAGTCTTGAACATAAGGAAGATTTTATTATATTTAGGGAGCCCATGGGTGCTAGATGGTGATTTTAACACTATAAAGTCAGGAATACATGTTTGTGTTCCTGACCCTATAGTATTCCTTTAATCACTCATTTGGAGACCCACTTAAAGCAATGGGATTTTTCTGTAACTCGGATTAATGGAATTAATTTACAAAATATATAAATATTGCATGAATATACATCCCTGTGTTACATAACTATTCCTTATTTAATGCCGAATAACTTTCTGACTTTAATGGATCTGAAAAAGAAAACTATTTTCAGATAGATCTTTCCTCCAAAAGCCTTTATAAGAAATCCAATTAAAATAAAAAACTGATTTATTTCTATCCTGTCTGGTGCCCGTGTGGGGAGAGGTGAGGGCTCTTGTGGAAGGTGATGGGGGGGCATCTCTGTGGCTGTACCTCATACAGCTCATTCTGTGTCCTTGGGGCTTCCTCTCGGAACATCTATCACGTACCCCTCAAAGCTCCCTGGTAAGCAGTCCCCTTCAGACAGAGATCCCTTAACTGTAAAAAAATAAATAAATAAAAAATAACTTTTAAAATAATTCTTGGTACTTTCATCTTGTTTCCGAACGCTTGGTTCTCATTATAATGTTTGTTATTGGACTGGTTGCCGTACATTAATCTTTTGATTTGTCTGATTTCAGGCTTGGAAGAGATGGTGCACACAGATCCTGTCTGCCCTCAGGTAATTTGCTGACCCGTGTTATTCATGTGCAGCAGGAAATGTAATGACTACAATAGATATAATCAGTGGAGAGAGGAATGATGGTACTCTTTTACTAGAACCATGACTTGTTTTGTCTTGTGTTTACCCCTGATGGTCAGAGCTATCTGCGTGTCGTTGGCTGAGATTATCATTACTGATGGTCTCGGCTAGCTGCGTGTCCCATTACTGATGGTCTCGTCTAGCTGCGTGTCATTGACGGAGATTATCATTACTGATGGTCACAGTGAGCTGCACGTCATTGGCGGAGATTATCATTACTGATGGTCTAGGCTAGCTGCGTGTCATTGAGTCTCGGCTAGCTGCGCGTCATTGACTGAGATTACCATTACTGATGGTCTCGGCTAGCTGCGCGTCATTGACTGAGATTACCATTACTGATGGTCTCGGCTAGCTGCGCGTCATTGGCTGAGATGGGGTGTAAATGTGGCCATGGGGGCTAAAAGGTGAGTTAATCATCTTTATTTTACTCTTTATGGCCATCTCCTCAAATTTTCACTTTTTTAGTTTATTTTGTTACATTTTAAATGTTTCTTCAACCAAAAACATTGTTTTAAGAAATGACTGTTTTTCAAGGTAACCCTTCCTGTGCTGTTTAAGGTGGCAAGCAGCCATTGACTGTCCCCAACAAACTGCGCATGCTGATGACAAACCGAATTGCACGCAAATCACTTTAGCCACCTGGAACTCTCGTTTTGGGCTGGCTAATGAAGCTTCAATGATGCTGCCGGAGGTGCAGTTACACGTCTGGCGGCAGAGGGGTTTAACATTTCATAGCGAAACACTGCACATACAAACTCCAAGCACCATAATTACTTTAAATCATATGATGCTTGGAGTAAACTATGTACGCTTTTTATTTATACTGCTCAGCATAACTTGCTGCTGCTGTGATTGCTCCGTCAGAAACCCGTAGAGTCTGACCCAACATGGCTGCTCATCCAGATAAAAAGTGACATTTTCTAAAAACAAACATTTTTTCTTAATTGATGAACATTTAAAAAAAAAAACGAACATTTTAATGAGTTTTCCGTTTATGGAGACACTTCTAAATCTAACTCCCTTGGACGAGATTTACTTGGCAGCAAAATTATTGGATGTGGTTCGTGTTGCATGACATCATCACTCTATTGAACTTCGATCTGGTTACTGTGGAGGTCATTAGAGTATGAGAACTGTATGTTCATAGAACAGCTTCAAATGTTAAATGTGCTTAGTCCTTGTGCCAACACGGCAGTGCTTGCGGCAGTGCGAGGGCGGTGCTTGCTGCGGCAATGCGAGAGTGGTCTTTGCTGCTGGGTGCGTCACTTTGAGGGCGGAACAGTCCTTGTATTTCCATATGCCTGGAGTATTAGCATTAGCATAGGAATCTGATCTGAAACTATTCAAGTTAAAGAATAGCCGAACTAAAAGCATAGCGGACTCCACTTTGGCTATTTTGACCTTAAAGGCATTCTATAGTGTTAGGAATGTAAATCTGTATTCCTAACACTATAGTGCCCTCTGTCCTGCAAAGTAATGAGAAACTGCCATGATTTACATTGACAGCAACACTGCTCTCTGGGTGCCTATACTGTCTCTTTTAAATTCTCGATTCACCTTGAATTCTCACTTTGGTGAATAACCCCGGTAGTCTTTGCTGGTTTTAAATTGTTTGATCGGTGGTTATAGTGTTGAGGTGTATTTAACCGTTCATTTAACCTTCTCAACAGTTACCTGCACTCCTGTGATCCTCCCATAATCCACGGAAACCTTACCTGTGACACCATCTTCATCCAACACAACGGTCTCATAAAGATCGGATCTGGTAAGCGCTGGTGTGACTTTAGTGGAAGCTCCCAAGGGGTTCCAGTGTGAGTGTGTGCTCAGTGTCTTGTCCATTGCTGAATCTCTGAGCTGACCAACATACAGTCACACACAGTGTGCCATTATTAACGCACCCTCGTGTCTCTCGTCCCATGTGATCTGACAGTATAAATAGAGGGTTGTGTGCACAGACCATATCCAGATTGGTGTGGTGTGGCGTGGCCTGGGTGTTTAATCTGGAGCTCACAACAAGATCAGGGAAAATGGCTCATACCAACAGTAAAGGGGGGAGGCGGACAGGACATGCAGTCTGGAGGCTTTCAGGGAGATTTATCAAAGTGTTCTTACTATCTAAATGTTCTATGAATTTTTGCTGCATTTTACGTTCCTTTTTTATTTTGTTGCCAATTTATAAATAATAATTTTGCATTCTAAGAAAAGTGTCAGAATTTTGCCGCCTATTAAAGTTTTAATACCATCCATTTTTAGATCAATAAATAAGGTCTAAATAATAAAGGTGATAAGTGTGTACAGTGAAAGTATACAAAAAAGGCTAATATGTCCTTAATTCACAAAACTACAATTTTTTATTTTTTTTTATAGCGACATCAGTGGGTGTCTAAGGTTCCGCCACACCTCCCACATTTTTAAAGATCGAGCAGAGCTTAAATGAACTGGCTGAAAGTATGCCATCTTGGCGCTATCAATCACTACACATTTTTAGGACTTTACCATTCCTTGTTTTGAACTCTTGTCTAGACAGCCTACTTTTTGTTAAATATATTGGCAGCTGCTTGAAGGGTTGTGTTACCTCCATACTCTGACCTCGTTCAAACACACTCTGCTCTAATTTCTAAAAATCTCCAAGCGATTTCAGGAAATGTGAGTCGTTTTGTTTAATAAGTTGCATGTTGTAATATTTTCACTGTGCACACTTAGTATCTTTTTTATGACATTACTCGATAAAGAATATACATATGCATTTGGTTTTATTTGCACATCTTTACCAGTGTTCATTTTGGGGACATATTTCAATTTAGTTTTAGTCATAGCTAAAAAGCTGTTTTAGTCAACTAAATCCTAATGGGTTTACTTAAAGGGTTTACTCTGTCTCTTTTGCACCTTTTCCAGCCCCTCTGGGTGTCTTTTCTCCCTCCCCAGCCCCTCTGGGTGTCTTTCCCCTTCCCCAGCCCTTCTGAGTCTCTTTTCCCCTTCCCCAGCCCCTCTGGGTCTCTTTTCCCCTCCCCCAGCCCCTCTGGGTCTCTTTTCCCCTTCCCCAGCCTCTCTGGGTCTCTTTTCCCCTTCCCCAGCCTCTCTGGGTCTCTTTTCCCCTTCCCCAGCCCCTCTGGGTGTCTTTTCCCCTTCCCCAGCCCCTCTGGGTGTCTTTTCCCCTTCCCCAGCCCCTCTGGGTGTCTTTTCCCCCTCCCAGCCCCTCTGGGTGTCTTTTCCCCCTCCCAGCCCCTCTGTGTCTTTTTCCCTTCCCAGCCCCCTCTGGTGTCTTTTTCCTCCCAGCCCCCTCTCTGCCTTTTTCCTCCCAGCCCTCTGCGGCTTTTTCCCCCTCTGAGTCTCTTTTTCCCTTCCCAGCTCCTCTGGGTCTCTCTTTTCCTTCCACAGCCCCTCTGGGTCTCTTTCTCTCTTCCACAGCCCTCTGTCTCTTCTTTTTTCTCTCTTCCACAGCTCCCTCTGTCTTTTTTCTCTCTCCCCAGCCTCTGGGTGTCTTTTTTCTCTTCCACAGCCCCCCTCTCTGGGTTCTCTTTTTCTTCTCTCCCCAGCCCTCTTGGGTGTCTTTTTTCCCTTCCCAGCTCCCTCTGGGTCTCTTTTTCTTCTCCCTCAGCTCCTCTGTGTCTTTTTTCCTTCCCCAGTCTCCCTCTGGTGTTTTTCCCTCTAGCCTTCTCTGTCTCTTTTTTTCTCTCTCCTAGCCCTCTGGGTGTCTTTCCCTCTCCCCAGCCCCCTCCTCTGGGTGTCTTTTTTCCTCTCCCCAGCCCCTCTGTGTGTGTCTTTTTCTCTCTCCCAGTCCTCTGTGTCTTTTTCTCTCTCCTAGTCCCTCTGTGTCTTTTCTCTCTCCCCAGCCCCTCTGGGTGTCTTTTCTCTCTCCCCAGCCCCTCTGGGTGTCTTTTCTCTCTCCCCAGCCCCTCTGGGTGTCTTTTCTCTCTCCCCAGCCCCTCTGGGTGTCTTTTCTCTCTCCCCAGCCCCTCTGGGTGTCTTTTCTCTCTCCCCAGCCCCTCTGGGTGTCTTTTCTCTCTCCCCAGCCCCTCTGGGTGTCTTTTTTTTTTTTCTCCCCCTCGTGTCTTTTCTCCCTCCCCAGCCCCTCCACGTGTCTCCCTCTACCATGTTTCTTACCCACCAGTGTTAATTTTGGTGCCAAATTTCAATTTGTTTTGGTCATAAGTTTTTTTGACTAAAAAGCCATTTTATTATTAGTCATATGAATTGTTTTGATTTTTGTTGACTAATCTGTATAAAATTGTTAGCCGACAAAATTACCACTGGTCTTTACACAGCGTCTCTACACAGCATCTTCACAACTAAATAATGATGGAATTTAAGTGACACTTTTCAGAACACTTTGATAAAAATCCATCAATTCATATACTTGTAATATGGGTCATACCAATAGTAGAGGATGAGGGATGCTACACGTGACCCATAATACCTCTAGTAACATGGGGAGCAGGGATGGTTACTGTTATTTTGGTCATTTTAGTTCCAATGACTGGACACACGGTGTGGAAGGGTTTCCAATGGACAGAGAACGAGAGTTAAGCTGCATGTCTGACACCTTGCCCCATCCTTGGAGACTCATGAGACCTGGCTGTGTACTTTGTAGAATGACTACCTTTGTGTTTTGTCCCCTCTGTGACATCCTCCCATCCCAGCCGTTCATTCACTCATTGACCTGTCTTGTATTGTTTTATCTCCTGCTTCGGCTGCTCTGTTGCCCACACACCAGTCTTTCATAGGATTTTTGCTAATGGTGAGATGAATCTTCAGCTCCTGTGATTTGCCTGTTCATGTCGATGTGATGCTGATCCTTTCTGTATGTTCTTCCTTCTCTGCAAGGCTCCCCCCATGTAACCGCTGGTTGTATATCTGGTTACCTGGGTGAGTGTTGCCTTGCACAGAGGGGTGGCAGCTCTGGAAGTGCCCCCATTGCTGGCAATGTCTGTAGGCTGCTCCCTTGCACGTAGGACCCCTCAATCTGCCTGTGCATGTCTGAGCTATAGAGTGCTTCACATCCTCACTGCACTGCTGCTGCATCCTGGGGTGTCCATTCCTGTTGCTGCTTTGTCCCCCTGCTCATGTTTGGGGAGAAGAGGGGGAGGGGGTTAAAATGAATGATACATTGCTGTTTGTGGTGTTAGGTGTTCATAGACTCAGAAGATCTGATTTATATGACTCAAATTGTGGGGTGCTCTGCAATCAGCAGAAAATTCAGGAAACTTGTGCTCAAATAAACAATCTTTCATACAGAGAAATTAAACGGGATAGATATTCTTCTTGGATTTTCTCCTGGATACCAAGCCTACCTTCCGCACCTGAATATGGAGCGAGAATATAGAGCTATCGGACATATGGTAGCATTCTCAACAGCATTTCTTAGACCTTTATGGTGGTGCTAAACTGAGGGGAAAATCACATCGCAATTGGCACAAAAGAGAGTTATGAAAAAAGTGGCCCTGTGCGTGGGCTCCCCTTCCTGGGAATGGGCCCTGGGCGGGCGTGGGCTCCCCTTCCTGGGAATGGGCCCTGGGCGGGCGTGGGCTCCCCTTCCTGGGAATGGGCCCCCCTTCCTGGGAATGGGCCCTGGGCGGGCGTGGGCTCCCCTTCCCTTGTGACATTTGACGAATTGGTAGAAATGATTTTGAAAAGTCCTTTTTTTTTTTTTTTTCATCCCTCTAGCTAGTACTAGGTTTGTCCTTTTTATAGTCTGCACCACCCTTTCCCCTTTTATTGACCCCTCTGTCAGCCCAATTCTTTGCATAGCGACATCCGCTCCTTGTCACATGACATGAAGTGAACTCTGAAACCCTGCCAACATGTGAGCAGCTGTGTGCTTCTGCGGTATGTGGTTTCCTTCCCAGGTAAGTGGATGGAGCAGCTCTCCATATAATAGTCTAATAAGGATCAGATTCAAGTCGATTTACATTTTCTGTATAGGATTGCGTGTATTCCTAGACAGGTGTATATACTGTATTAAGGGATCGGAGATCGGAATCCTCCACAAAACATAAATAAAATTATTTTTATTATTTGCGCCTCCCTATATTTAACAAATATATTTGTGAGATGAGATAATATGAAATTTAGAAATCCACTCTCTATCCGTAACTGGGCACTTCCAGCTCCCTGTCAATCATTGTGATAAGCTCCGCCCTTTACACCTGGCAGTCAGTATAGAGAGAGCCACCTCCATCTTAGCTCCCTGTCAATCATTGTTATAAGCTCCGCCCTTTACGCCTGGCAGTCAGTATAGAGAGAGAGCCACCTCCATCTTAGCTCCCTGTCAATCATTGTTATAAGCTCCGCCCTTTACACCTGGCAGTCAGTATAGAGAGAGAGCCACCTCCATCTTAGCTGCCTGTCAGTCATTGTTATAAGCTCCGCCCTTTACACCTGGCAGTCAGTATAGAGAGCCACCTCCATCTTAGCTCCCTGTCAATCATTGTTATAAGCTCCGCCCTTTACACCTGGCAGTCAGTATAGAGAGCCGCCTCCATCTTAGCTCCCTGTCAATCATTGTTATAAGCTCCGCCCATTACACCTGGCAGTCAGTATAGAGAGAGCCACCTCCATCTTAGCTCCCTGTCAATCATTGTTATAAGCTCCGCCCTTTACACCTGGCAGTCAGTATAGAGAGAGCCGCCTCCATCTTAGCTCCTGTCAATCATTGTTATAAACTCCGCCCTTTACACCTGGCAGTCAGTATAGAGAGAGCCGCCTCCATCTTAGCTCCCTGTCAATCATTGTTATAAGCTCCACCCTTTACACCTGGCAGTCAGTATAGAGAGAGCCATCTCCATCTTAGCTCCCTGTCAATCATTGTTATAAGCTCCACCCTTTACACCTGGCAGTCAGTATAGAGAGCCACCTCCATCTTAGCTCCCTGTCAATCATTGTTATAAGCTCCGCCCTTTACACCTGGCAGTCAGTATGGAGAGAGCCACCTCCATCTTAGCTCCTTGTCAATCATTGTTATAAGCCCCGCCCTTTACACCTGGCAGTCAGTATAGAGAGCCACCTCCATCTTAGCTCCCTGTCAATCATTGTTATAAGCTCCGCCCTTTATACCTGGCAGTCAGTATAGAGAGAGCCACCTCCATCTTAGCTCCCTGTCAATCATTGTTATAAGCTCTGCCCTTTACACCTGGCAGTCAGTATAGAGAGAGCCACCTCCATCTTAGCTCCCTGTCAATCATTGTGATAAGCGCCGCCCATTACACCTGGCAGTCAGTATAGAGAGAGCCACCTCCATCTTAGCTCCCTGTCAATCATTGTTATAAGCTCCGCCCTTTACACCTGGCAGTCAGTATAGAGAGAGCCGCCTCCATCTTAGCTCCCTGTCAATCATTGTTATAAGCTGCGCCCTTTACACCTGGCAGTCAGCCTAGAGAGAGCCACCTATATCTTAGCTCCCTGTCAATCATTGTGATAAGCGCCGCCCATTACACCTGGCAGTCAGTATAGAGAGAGCCACCTCCATCTTAGCTCCCTGTCAATCATTGTTATAAGCTCCGCCCTTTACACCTGGCAGTCAGTGTAGAGAGCCGCCTCCATCTTAGCTCCCTGTCAATCATTGTGATAAGCGCCGCCCATTACACCTGGCAGTCAGTATAGAGAGAGCCACCTCCATCTTAGCTCCCTGTCAATCATTGTTATAAGCTCCGCCCTTTACACCTGGCAGTCAGTATAGAGAGAGCCACCTCCATCTTAGCTCCCTGTCAATCATTGTGATAAGCGCCGCCCATTACACCTGACAGTCAGTATAGAGAGAGCCACCTCCATCTTAGCTCCCTGTCAATCATTGTTATAAGCTCCGCCCTTTACACCTGGCAGTCAGTGTAGAGAGCCACTTCCATGTCAGCAGGGCCGGTGCAAGGATGTTAGTTTAACACGTACTACCTACCTAGAGATTTTTACAGATCATGTACACTCCTTCATGGCATTTGTCTCTTGATGGCAGTGGCCTCTTTCAGCAGGATAATGCACCCTGCCATGCTGCTCCATCCCAGCTAGATATTCCACGGTCATCTGTGCGTGGTATTATTGGAAAGTGGAAGCATTTAGGAACAGCAGCAACTCTGCCACGAGGCGGAAGACCACATAAAGTCACAGTGCGGGTTCACAAGTGCTGAGGCTCATGGCATAAGAGTTCCAAACTTCCACTGGCATTAATATCCGCACAAAGTGTTTGAAGATAGCTTCATGGAATGGGTTTACATGGTGATGTGAGGCTTGCATGCAGCTGCTTGGCCAAGTATCCTTGTTTTTCCAGGATTGGACTTGGCCACTTCCAGTGAAAGGAAATCTTTAATGCATCAGCATACCAAAACATTTTGGAGAATGATACACTTTCAACTTTGTGGGAACAGTTTGGTGAAGGCCCCTTTCAATTCAAGCATGACAGTGCCCCAGTGCATAAAGCAAGGTCCATAAAGACATAGCTGGAAGATAATTTATTGTGAAGGAACTTGGATAGCCTGCACAGAGTCCTCACCTCAACCCTATCGAAAACCTTTTCGTCCAACATCAATGCCTGACCTCACAAATGATCTACTGCATAAATTGACAATCCCACAAAAAGAATCCAAAATCTTGTGGAAAGCTTTATAACTGCAAAGTGGGGACCAACTACTTATTTAGGTCTATGTATTTAAAATGCAATGTCATAAAAGTCCCCGATGGTGTAATGGTCAGGTGTCCCAATACTTTTTTTCATATGGTGAATCTTGAGTTGGTGTTAAATTTGGGTAGACGTGAGTAACAGCCTGTATATAATACAAAGAACAAAAGAGAGGACTGTGATGTTATTTATTTGAGGCTAAACAGACTTTGTTGCCTATTAGGCATTTTCTTATTTTGGCAACCTTGACTAAATAACAAACCTGTATTCTTTAGGTTAACGCAAACTAGAATATGTTCAAATCTTGCATTGTAGTACAGCAAATCTATATTAATCCATTCTATACCAGTAATCCTGCTAAATCGAGGACTTTCACTGTGAAAAGCTTAACATACAAACTATGGACACCATAACTACTTCAAAACACTAAAGTGGCCATGGTACTTGGTGCAACCAGTTAACCAGAGCTCATTCTCTGTATGTTTTATAGTGTGATCTCACCAGATAACCAGAGCTCATTCTCTGTATGTTTTATAGTGTGATCCCACCAGATAACCAGAGCTCATTCTCTGTATGTTTTATAGTGTGATCCCACCAGATAACCAGAGCTTATTCTCCGTATGTTTTATAGTGTGATCCCACCAGATAACCAGAGCTCATTCTCCGTATGTTTTATAGTGTCATCTCACCAGATAACCAGAGCTCATTCTCGGTATGTTTTATAGTGTGATCCCACCAGATAACCAGAGCTCATTCTCGGTATGTTTTATAGTGTGATCCCACCAGATAACCAGAGCTCATTCTCCGTATGTTTTATAGTGTCATCTCACCAGATAACCAGAGCTCATTCTCCGTATGTTTTATAGTGTGATCCCACCAGATAACCAGAGCTCATTCTCGGTATGTTTTATAGTGTCATCTCACCAGATAACCAGAGCTCATTCTCGGTATGTTTTATAGTGTCATCTCACCAGATAACCAGAGCTCATTCTCGGTATGTTTTATAGTGTGATCCCACCAGATAACCAGAGCTCATTCTCGGTATGTTTTATAGTGTCATCTCACCAGATAACCAGAGCTCATTCTCGGTATGTTTTATAGTGTCATCTCACCAGATAACCAGAGCTCATTCTCGGTATGTTTTATAGTGTGATCTCACCAGATAACCAGAGCTCATTCTCGGTATGTTTTATAGGGTGATCCCACCAGATAACCAGAGCTCATTCTCGGTATGTTTTATAGTGTGATCCCACCAGATAACCAGAGCTCATTCTCTGTATATTTTATAGTGTGATCCCACCAGATAACCAGAGCTCATTCTCGGTATGTTTTATAGTGTGATCTCACCAGATAACCAGAGCTCATTCTCGGTATGTTTTATAGTGTGATCTCACCAGATAACCAGAGCTCATTCTCGGTATGTTTTATAGGGTGATCCCACCAGATAACCAGAGCTCATTCTCGGTATGTTTTATAGGGTGATCCCACCAGATAACCAGAGCTCATTCTCGGTATGTTTTATAGGGTGATCCCACCAGATAACCAGAGCTCATTCTTGGTATGTTTTTTTTAGTGGGATCACAGACCACATATATCCCCAGTGTAACAATGTAATCCGTATCCTGAGATAACTGGCATCACGGATCACATATATCCCAAGTGTAACAATGTTATCCGTATCCTGAGATAACTGGGATCACATATCACATATATCCCCAGTGTAACAATGTAATCTGTATCCTGAGATAACTGGCATCACGGATCACATATATCCCCAGTGTAACAATGTATTCTGTATCCTGAGATAACTCGCATCACAGACCACATATATCCCAAGTGTAACAATGTTATCCGTATCCTGAGATAACTGGGATCACATATCACATATATCCCCAGTGTAACAATGTATTCTGTATCCTGAGATAACTGGCATCACAGACCACATATATCCCCAATGTAATCCTTATCCTGAGATAACTGGGATCACAGACCACATATATCCCCAGTGTAACAATGTAATCCGTATCCTGAGATAACTGGGATCACAGTCGAGTGAAATATACCAGGCGTGTAAGGCTACTCCTCTACCTAGTATGGATAACAATCCAGACATGTGCTTAAAATATTAATATACAATCTTTATTAATTAGGCTTATTTGTAGGACTTTTCATAACCCTTTGTAGGTAAGTAGTGCACTGAAAAAATAAACCAGGGTACCAAGGTAGACAAGGGGTTATACCATAGTATTGGTGTTAAAAAACAGGGATTAACTAGAAGTTAAACCATAGTTCTGTCCGTATAAAGCAGCCAGTTAATCGTACCTTCGTTAGCCCTTTGTAGCTAAATAGTGCACTGAAAAATAAACCAGTGTACCCAGGTAGACAAGGGGTTAAACCATGGTCTTAGTGTTAAGTACCAAAGATTGACTCAAGGTTAGACCATCGTACTATCCAAGTGAAGCATGAATAAACATAGATTGGATAATAGAGTAACCCAAAATATCCAGGGGCGTGGTTACTGAGAAGTGATGTCATTACATACACCCTTCCCTTTCATGATGGAGGGGGTGAATGATACAGAATGAGAAGATCGAAATACGTTACCAATATGATCGCAACTAAATAAAGTCACTCCTATCTGTCAGTTAAAGGACCACTATAGGCACCCAGACCACTTCAGCTCAATGAAGTGGTCTGGGTGCCAGTTCCATGTAGGGTTAACCCTGCCTGTCTACACTAGGGTTAATCCAGCCTCTAGTGGCTGTCTCATTGACTGCCGTTAGAGGCGCTTCTCACTGTGAAAATCAGTGAGAAGACGCTGACGTCCATAGGAAAGCATTGAGTAATGCTTTCTTATGAACTGATTGAATGCGTGCGCGGCTCTTGCCACGCATGAGCATTCAGCGTTGACGTCCGAAGAGGGAGGAGAGTTCGCCAGCGTGCCCGACGAGAGTGGGACCCTGAGGGTAGGGGGGAACTTAAAGACCCTATAGTGCCAGGAAAACGAGTTTGTTTTTCCTGGCACTATAGTGGTCCTTTTAAGATTCAAATATGGGTGATACAATTTGCAAAGGCAGCCCAAAGCTGGCTGATACTAGAGTAAAATAGTAGCCATGTGTGTCCAGCTGCAAGAAAAATGTCAAGTTTAGAAACCAATTACGCTGAGCTAGTTTATAAAACATTGCTGTGAAATATCCTCTTCAGATCGGAACAGTAGACTTGTCACACTGTACATCAATATGCCGATGTGAAGCGAGTTGTTGTGTATTAATACTATAGTTCTTATTTTCAACCATCATATATGTCTACTGCTGGCTAGAGTAACGGCTCGGCAGCAGTGAAGGGGTGCATAAACTTCAAGCCGATATCTCTCCAGAAGATATGCAGCAGACTGGGCTAAAGTGGGTCTAACCGATGCTGTATCTATATGCGTTGTACCGTCCTTATGGGTCACTATGAAACTGCGGCACCAGGAAGGAATACATTAGAGAGATGACTAATTAAATATAGACCAGTCAGTGGGATTCAAACTGCTGAACGATTAGAATTGCACAGAGTACTTATCCTCTATAGCTACTGCCTAGAAGGGCAGATCGCCTAAATTGAACCCCCAAGATGGTGGAAGTGACAAAATTAACGTATAGTTAATATGTAAACTCTGTATCACAATGGATAGTTAGTAGTGTAGTGTCTTCAGCTAAGTTGGATACCTCGGTATTTCAGCACTAGATGTGCATGCCCCTAGGTAATCGGAGCCATCTATATTGTGACTATATATTCTCGTAGTTATTTTAATCCTTCTTTAAGACCCCATATATAACTTGAATGCTCTTCTAAGATATTCAAAGAGTACCCTAGTCACTATGTAAAAACCCCAAACATTACTGTACTGATAGATGTTCAGCACCTAATGTTTAATCACAATCAAGGAATAATATATGTATATATGTATGTATATGTGGGTCTGCGCAACGTAGTATGGAAATAAACATATTTAGGTCCATATCGATTGTAAAATTCTGAAGTTGTAATTGGGGCTGGAATAACCTAACCATGGGAGGACACCAGACCGTAGATCCAACAGTGAGCGAAATCAATAAGGCAAACAGGGCCACCAACTGTGCTGCAGGTGCGTCTAGTGATCACTAAAAAATAGAGTACTTACAAATTTCTATAATAAATCTAGTTTACATAACATAAGGATACTGATCTATAAATAGTGCTGACTATAAAGTAGGCTTATTCAGGAATAAATGAAAAACCTTCATTCAGGCCACGTGGAGCGAGCGTCTTAAGTTTAAAGATCCAAAAACTCTCGCGTTGTAAGAGTATCTTATCAAGGTCACCCCTTCTTTGACCAAGGTTGACTTTCTCTATTCCGTTGAATCGAATCTCGACAGCCGATCCACCATGGAATAATTTCAAATGCTTTGAAATGGGTGTATCAACATAACGTAACGGGTTAACGGAATTAACATGTTACATGTTCAGTGGGCGACAAGTTTTACCATCATACATCTTTTGACAGCTTTTAAAGAAGGATTTGGAAGTAAGTTGTTCAGAATTTGTGGAATTTGCAAAGGTCTTGATGTATTTACATGCCTTGCATCTTCCACATTGGTATGTCCCAGTAACGGAAGATTTTAACCAAGTTTCATTAGTCGGTACTGGTTTCAGATAACTAGGGACCAGTATATCTTTCAGGTTTCTGACCCTTCTTGCTGTAATGGAAGCACGAGGGGTGAATGCCTATTGGAGATGTATATCCTGTTTTACCAATGGGCAAAATCTTTCTAGTGTCCCTTTCACAGCATACCACCCTGCATCAAAAGTGCCTATGCATCTGGTTTGGTCTTGGCTCGAGGTATCCGGTATTTTGTCAGATAGGAGTACTTTTCTATCCATTAAGAGGGCTCTTTGATAAGCATTATTTAGACATTCATTAGGGTAACCTTATTCTTTAAAGTTTGCCCTCAGATTTTTGGCTTTAACTTTAAAGTCATCCATAGATGAGCAATTCCTCCTTAGTCGGAGAAATTGTCCGACTGGAATACCTCTCTTGAGGGATGGGGGATGATGACTTTTCCAGTTAAGTAGATTGTTGGTGGTTGTTGGTTTTCTAAATAATGTCGTTGATATTTTGCCCTCCTCTTCCACTTTAATGGAAATGTCCAGAAAGTTCAGATGGTCACCGCCTATTTCCACAGTAAGCCTCAAGTTGATATTATTCTGATTAAGCTGAAACACAAATTCTCTAAACTGGTCCGTGGTACCTGTCCAAACTATCAAGATGTCATCAGTGTATCTTTTCCACATTCTCACACGTTTAGTATATTTGTCTAATGTTTGGTCACTATAGTTATTTCCCACCACCCCAGGTGGAGGTTGGCATATGACTGGGCACAAGCCTTCCCCATAGCTATTTAAATTTTTTCCAGTTTTTACCTCGTCCACTTTATTGTGGATTTGGTGAATCTTTCCTGAATCTTAAAGACCATTTAATGGCGAGACAAACTCTATATAATGTGTGGGTACAGTAAATGAGTAAGAGGAAAATTACAGCTAAACACAAACACAGCAGAAATTTAAAAAGTGCCTGGTTCTTAACAGTAAGAAAATTGAAAAGCAGTCTGGTCACTAAGGGGTTAAATATAGTCTCCTCCTTTACTGTGTTGATTCCCTTTATATATTTAAATGTTTCTATCATATCCCCCCTGTCTCGTCTTTCCTCCAAGCTATACATGTTAAGATCCTTTAACCTTTCCTGGTAAGTTTTATCCTGCAATCCATGAACCAGTTTAGTAGCCCTTCTCTGAACCCTCTCTAAAGCAGGGGTTCCCAATTAATTTTTTAAGTGGAACCCTTTTACATAGTGTATCAACATCGTGGAACACCCCTCCCCTCTCTTCCGCCAATATTAGCGCCATCTAATTTTGTGTGTATTTGTGTATGTATTTGACACACACACACACTGGCACATAGTGGCACACAGATACACACCTTGACACACACAGCACATATTATTATTATTATTATGTTCTTTATATAGCCCCATCAAATTCCGCAGCGCTTTACAATGGGTTGACAAACAGACATGTAGTTGTAACCAGACAAGTTGGACACACACCTTGACAAATAGATACATACACACACACACACACACACAGATACTGTGTGTGTGTATCAATGCATCGGTTTGTCAAGGTGTGCATATCTATGTGTATCTGTGCTTGTATGTGCCGGTGTGTGTATCTTTGTGTATGTATCTGATACACATACACACACACTCAGATGCACACTGTGGCACATACACACATCTTGACTCACAAATACACACACTAAGATAAACACAGTGTCATATACACACACACACACAAACATAGGCACATACAAACACACTGATATACACTGGCACAGACACACACACTCTCACTGACAAACACACACATTCTTTGACACACGCATACAAACACATAGACTCAGTGACAAACACACATACAAACCCCCTAACAAACACACACACACTTTTTTTTAAACAATTTTTTTTTTTTTATTTCACTCCACCCAGACTCCCTAGCTTTGTGAGTGCTGGCATGGAGTCTTTATTTCCCTGGGGTCCAGTTGGGCTGCTGGGCTGAGTGGCTGGCGTGCAGTCCCTGAGGTCCGGTGGGGCTGTTGGGCTGGCGGCAAGCCAAACGTGATCTTCCTGCTCATCTCCCTCGCGCACCTTTTAGTGATGCCGTGGCCGGAGTAACGTCATATTCCGGCTCCGGCATCAATGCTGTGCGCACGAGGTTGCTGAGTAAGGGAGAGTGCTCCCTCGCTGCCTGCAATTATCGCAGCAGTCATTTTGTTCCCAGAAATTGCGGCGGAACACCAATTGGGAAACTTTCCTCTAAAGTATCAATATCCTTCTGAAGATACGGTCTCCAGTACTGCGTACAATACTCCAAGTGAGGTCTCACCAGTGTTCTGTACAATGGCATGAGCACTTCCCTCTTTCTACTGCTAATACCTCTCCCTATACAACCAAGCATTCTGCTAGCATTTCCTGCTGCTCTATTACATTGTATGTCTACCTTTAAGTCATCAGAAATAATCACCCCAAATCCCTTTCCTCATATGTTGAGGTTAGGACTCTATCAAATATTCTGTACTCTGCCCTTGGGTTTTTACGTCCAAGATGCATTATCTTGCACTTATCCACATTAAATGTCAGTTGCCACAATTCTGACCATTTTTCTAGTTTACCTAAATCATTTGCTATTTGGCTTATCCCTCCTGGAACATTAACCCTGTTACATATCTTAGTAGCATCAGTTGTGATGTTTGAGTTTTGTGTATTGTAAAGCTGGTGGAGTGGCTGTCAGTGAAGCTCTTGGTAGGTTGTTGGTATTGTGAAGCCGGTGTGGTGGGCCTGCAGTTCCATACCGATATTGGAAGCCAGGGTAGGTTAGAAGAGGTGGATAACGCATTGTTGTATATTAAGTGGATAGAGATTTAAAGGTTGTGTGAAGTGTGATACCTCTCAGTGAAGCCCTTTGTAGGTTGTGTGTATTGTGAAGCTGGTGGGGTGGCTCTCGGTGTAGCTCTTGGTCGATTGTGTGTATTGTGAAGCCAGTGGGGTGGGCCTGTATATTGAAATTGGTTGTTGGGATAAAGCTGTCTGGAGGGTTGTGTATTTTCTCATTTTGTCCTTCTCATCCTCAGTGGCTCCAGACACTATTAACAACCACGTGAAAACCTGCCGTGAGGAGCAGAAGAACTTGCACTTTTTTGCACCTGAGTATGGAGGTAGGAGGGGAGAAGGCAGCCTGAGCCACATGTGTTATTTATTTATTAAGGAATATATCAAATGTCTTTTTTTTTTTTTTTAATAGAAGTGACAAACGTAACGACTGCTGTGGATATCTACTCCTTTGGCATGTGTGCATTAGAGGTGAGAGTTCAGTAGCTGCCGGCCTCCTGACTCGATAACCCCTGCGCTGCCGGCCTCCTGGCTGGTGAACCCCTGCGCTGCCGGCCTCCTGGCTGGTGAACCCCTGCGCTGCCGGCCTCCTGACTCGATAACCCCTGCGCTGCCGGCCTCCTGGCTGGTGAACCCCTGCGCTGCCGGCCTCCTGGCTGGTGAACCCCTGCGCTGCCGGCCTCCTGGCTGGTGAACCCCTGCGCTGCCGGCCTCCTGGCTGGTGAACCCCTGCCCTGCCGGCCGCCTGGCTGGTGAACCCCTGCCCTGCCGGCCGCCTGGCTGGTGAACCCCTGCGCTGCTGGCCTCCATACCTATTATCTATACTCATGAGTGAGTAAGAAGGCTGGCAGTACATGTCTACTGCCGGCTTCCTAAGCTGCTACCTCCGGCCTCCTCGTTTATCTTGTTATCTCCCAGTCTTTATATGGATTCATATCATCTTTCTCTTTCTGTTTCCTCTGCAGATGGCTGTCTTAGAGATCCAGGGTAATGGGGAGTCATCGTATGTTCCTCAAGAGGCTATAAATAACGCCATCCAATTCTTGGAGGATCCACTACAGAGAGTGAGTTCCAATCTGTGCACTTTAACCTTATGTCTTGAATTCTCTTCAAAGATAAGATATAACCTAGCGTGTTGAGACGTATCTCCAGATAGGCTGGAGTCAAAACGCTGGCAAATGTGGAAGGGGAGGAGGCAAAACGCTGCGGTGGGAACGGGGAGGCGGGAGGGGAGAGATGCTGTTGTGGGTGTTGTGGGAGGGGAGAGATGCTGTTGTGGGTGTTGTGGGAGGGGAGAGATGCTGTTGTGGGTGTTGTGGGAGGGGAGAGATGCTGTTGTGGGTGTTGTGGGAGGGGAGAGATGCTGTTGCAGTTGTGTGGGAGGAGATGCTGTTGTGGGGTGTGTGTTGTGGGAGGGAGATGCTGTTGTGGGGTGCTGTGGGAGGGGAGAGATGGCTATGGGGGGAGAGATGCTGTTGTGGGGGGAGGGGAGAGGATGCTGCTGTGGGGGGAGGGAGGATGCTGTTGTGGGGGGGGGAGGGAGAGATGCTAAGCTGTGGGGGAGGGGAGAGATGCTGTTGTGGGGGGGAGGGGTAGATGCCATGTGGGGGAGGAGAGGATGCTTGCTGTGGGGGGAGTGAGAGATGCTGCTGTGGGGGGGGAGATGCTGTTGTGGGGGGAGGGAGAGATGCTGTTGTGGGGGAGGGGAGATGCTGCTGTGGGGGAGGGAGATTGTGGGGGGGAGGAGATGCTGTGGGGGGGGAGGGGAGAGATGCTGCTGTGGGGAGGAGAGATGCTGTTGTAAGGGGGGGGAGGAGAGATGCTGTTGTGGGGGAGGGGATGGTTGTGGGGGGGGGAGGAGGAGATGCTGCTGTGGGGGGAGGGAGAGATGCTGTTGTGGGGGGGGAGGGAGAGGATGCCAGTTGTGGGGGAGGGAGAGATGCTGCTGTGGGGGGAGGGAGAGATGCTGTTGTGGGGGAGAGATGCTGTTGTGGGGAGGGGAAAGAGCTGCCATGGGGGGAGGGGAGAGATGCTGCTGTGGGGGGAGGGAGAGATGTTGCTGTGGGGGGAGGGAGGGAGAGATGCTGGGTTGTGGGGAGGGGAGGAGAGATGCTGTTGTGGGGGGGGAGGGGAGTGATGCTGTTGTGTGGGGGGGTGCTGCTGCTGCTGAGGAGGCGAGCAGCAGCGCAAATCCATTGTGATGGATAGAATGCTATATACTAGTTACTTGTATAAAATGTTAAAATTAGTCTTAAAAGACATTCCCTCAGTGAAGCTGTAGGGGGCACCTTCTTACCTTCAAGGGTTAAACTTAATGTTTATGTGATGAGAATGTGAAGAGTTGTTTGACAGACCTTTCCTGTACGGAGTGGCAGCTGGGCACCGAGATTAAACCACTCAAACTGTTTAACCCCTGCAAGTAAAATTGGCGCTATGCTCCCTTAACAATTTAGTAAAGATGATGTTATAATATTTAAACCTGATTTGCAATCCATGCATTGTGTGTCGAGAATCCAGAATATGTTGGCACTATTTCTATAATTCTATTCCCTATGCAGGAATTCATCCAGAAGTGCCTGGAGACTGATCCCAGTAAGCGCCCCACTGCCCGGGAGCTGCTCTTCCACCAGGCCTTGTTTGAGGTGCCCTCTCTGAAGCTGCTGGCTGCGCACTGCATTGTGGGTCACCAGCGTAAGTAACTGCCTGTCATTTTGTTAGTTTGGGAAGACAATTTTTATGGCTGGGGTTAATCAACGAGGTTTGGGTATGGTTTTGGGGGTTAATATAGCGAAGAAGGGTTAATAATTCAGTGAGTGTGTATTATAGTATGGGGAGGTTAATAATTCAGCAAGTGTGTATTTTAGTATGGGGAGGTTAATAATTCAGCGAGTGTGTATTATAGTATGGGGGGGGTTTAATAATTCAGCGAGCCCTTGTTATAGTTGGGGGGGTTAATAATTCAGCGAGCCCTTGTATAGTGGGGGTTAATAATCCAAGCCTTTGTTATAGTTAAGCATAATTCAACGAGCCCTTGTTATAGATAAGGGGTTAAATCAATGGGCCTTGTTATAGTTGGGGAGGGGTGTTATATTATGGGATCCCTTGACATAGTTGGCGGAGGTGGGGGTTAATAATTCAGCAAACCCTTGTTATAGTATGGGGCGGTTAATAATTCAGCGAGCCCTTGTTATAGTATTGGTGGGGGGGGGCTAATAATTCAGCGAGCCCTTGTTATAGTATTGGGGGGGGGGGGGGTTAATAATTCAGCGAGCCCTTGTTACTGGACTATGAATTTTCTCCTACAGACATGATACCAGAGAATGCTTTGGAGGAAATGACTAAGAATCTTGATATGACGGCTGTACTGGCAGAGATCACGCATGCAGACCGCGATGGCGTCCGTATGATGTAAGAGTGCTTGATATTGTGCGGTTATTATAATGTGGGAGTGTCACCAAGCTAGTGCCACCAGAGGATATGTAGTTAGGCCATGGTCTCTCGTGACGCATGGCCTCCTCCGCCGATATCCAGTTCTTCTTCTCATAGAGGTCATTGGGGACCTAATACGCATGTGCAGCACGTTTTACTTGCAATGGAAGTGTCCTAGTTGCTTTCAGTGTGACACACTAAAGTAGGACTTAATCCTGTAATGTAAACATTGCACCAAGACCACTTCAGCGAGATGACAATAGTGTCACTTTAACCCCTTAAGGACGGCAGGCCCGATCCGGCCATACCCCTGGCCATGTGATCACAGGCTCCTCGCGATCACATGGTTGGAATAGCCGGCTTATGCAGGGGCCTGCAAGGGGAGCTCTCAGGCAGTCCCCCTAATGCCTGCAAAAGAGTTTATAAAGTTAATAAAAAGTTTAATAAAGTAAATAAAAGTACTTGGAATATATATATATAGATATAGATATAGATAGATATATAGATATCTATTTTATATACACATAAATTATACACCAGTTTTAATTTGTTTAAACTGTATTTTGATATATTAAATTCAAAATACATTTAGAATGACATAAATGTATGTGTATATATCTATCTATATATATATCTATCTCTATGTATATATAAATAAAAATAATAAACATTATATATACACATATCTATGCACATATATATTTAAATTCTACAAATATATTTATATAATATTTTTACATAATTAAGTTATTTTATTAATTACAATCTGAGGGACCTGCCTGACAACCAAGGAGATAGTCCATAATTTTGCTCGCAAGCCCTATATTTAACCCTATAACTTTCCAGGACACCATAAAACCTGTACATGGAGGGTACTGGTTTACTCGGGAGACTTCGCTGAACACAAATATTAGTGTTTTAAAAACAGTAAAACCTATCACAACAATGATATAGTAAGTAAAAATTCATTTTTTTGCATTTTACACACAAACGGTACTTTCACTGATGATATACAGTGGGACCTCGGTTTACAAACGCCTCGGTTAACATAATTTTCGGTTTACAAAGGAAAATCCATTGAAAATAATGCTTCAGTTTACAATTTTTTCGCAATACAAAGCAAGTTTCCCCTGGATGCATTGCACGTGGGAGGTTCATAGCGCCGCCCCCTGCATGCTGGAGCCTGTGGGTAGCACGTGGCGTCGACTGTGGAAGTGTTGGAGCGGCTTTTGCATCGAGTTTTGGAGCCATTCTGGAAATTGTTTGCAGTTGTTTTGGGACTTTTTGGTGCATTTCTCAAGCTGTGGAAAGTTAGGGAGCTGAGCTTCGTTGTTTGCATGCCTTTTACTGTGTGTTCGGCATTGTGGGTTGGTTTCCATGTCAGCTCATTTTGACTTTTTTCTGACCTCCAGAACAGATTAATTGGTTTTCAATGCATTCCTATGGGACACCGTGTTTCGGTTTACAAATATTTCACAATAAGAAACGTCCCAGAGAACGCATTAAATTCATAAACCGAGATCCCACTGTAATTGCTGTGATACATTTTACTATTTTAAAACACTCCTATTTGTGTTCAGCGAATTCTCCAGAGTATAACCGTACCCTGTGTACAGGTTTTATGGTGTTTTCAAAATCTCCTTTTTTTCACGTTGAAACTTGCCGATTGGTTATGTTGCCTTTGAGACCGTATGGTAGCCCAGGAATGAGAATTACCCTCATGATGGCATACCATTTGCAAAAGTAGTGAATCCAGGGTATTCAATATGGGGTATGTCCAGTCTTTTTTAGTAGCCACTTAGTCACAAACAATAGCCAAAATTAGCATTCAATCTAGTTTTTTGCATTTTTCACAAACATATGAACTTTGGCCAGTGTTTGTGACAAAATGGCCACTAGAAAAGACTGGACATACCCCATTTGCAATACCTTGGGTTGTCTACTATTGCAAATGGTATGCCATCATGGGGGTTATTCTCATTCCTGGGCTACCATACGGTCTCTGCAACATAACTAATCTGGCAAATTTCAATGTGTATAAACGGAAAAATGTAACGTGCTATATTTGACCCTGTAACTTCCCAAAACCTCATAAAACCTGTACATAGGGGGTACTGTTTTACGCATGAGACATCGCTGAATACAAATATGTGCATTTTATTGCAGTAAAAGCAAACCGTATTGTGACATTCACCGTTAAAATGTAATGATGAATTTAAAAAATAAAATTACTTAATTTCTCATTTTCTTAAATATTTTATTCATATTAAATTGTTTAATATACAAATATTTGATGTGACATGAAAGCCCTGTTTCCTGAACAAAATAATTTATAAGTGTGGGTGCACATAATATGAAAGAGGTGAATTACGCCTGAACACCAAATTCAAGGTTTACATTTTGTTTTGATCACAACTTGTACAAATGGCTCAGTCCTTACGGGGTTAACAGGCAAACTTGCAATAGCCAAGGCGGTATTCTGCCTTTATCCCCAGTGCAGTTACCACATTGTGTGCTCCGGATGACATTAGTCTGCGGGTGCACCCTAGGCTGCTTGTCTCTTTTATTCCTTCACAAAATCTCTGTAAATAAAAATGTCCAGAAGACATTCCTAGATTCGATAAACAAGGTGGGGATTTCATTCTTGTAATGTGTAAAGATGTATCTGCATCCAGTTTATACATTTGGCTTCCTTTCTTTGTTTTTTGTTACATGAAGCTCTGTACCAAACCGTCCGAAATGAGGTTATGGAGCTATAAATATGTTTGTCTTACTTTGTTAACCCTGGCTTCAAGAAGGTGGTTTGACTATATAAAAATATATCTATATACAGAGTGGGCCAAAATTCTGAGTAACGTTTGAGAAGTCAATAACAAAATGCCATCTTTTTAGTAAGCCTTATTTGCCAACTATAAGTTGGGATCTTTCAATTGCATTGTTCATAACATGACTTACACAGCCTTCCTAAACACTTTCTGTAAAGAGTCATCTAATGTTTACACTTCCTTTATGGCAAATTATCTTTTAATATAGAACTTATCTCCTGCCCTGTTAATATCTTGCTAGACCTTGCAGGAGCCTCCCATGTATGATTAAAGTTCAATTTACAGAGGCGTGTCCGACTTCCGGCCTGAACGGACGCATGGAGTAAGAGCTCCGCTCCATAACGAGTCATAAAGCACCCTATAACGCACAAAAATATTAAAAAAAAAACAGAATTCCTAATCGGAAGGCGAGTAAAGGGGACCGTACCTATCACGGAGATGTCTCCTTCGAAACAAACAAAGCTCACAGACCCGTCCAGACAAACAAAGAAGGACCGTCACAAAATGATCCAAGATGGCGCTGGTAAAGAGATTCCCGCCCAGGCCTCAGAAAGCTCGACAGATCTCGACCAGGTCCCAGACCCTGAACTAGAGGGGAACATCACTTAATTATATATCAAGACTATGCTCCAGGAGCTGAGATCAACGATCAGAGAGGACTTTACCACAATTATTTCTGGAATGCACCAAGAAATTGCGGAGCTGGGAGATCGCACTGATCACCTGGAGCAAAAAACGGAGGAACTATGCTCAGCCCACAACGCGGCGGCCGACAAACTCCAAGCACTGGAAGCTGATAATTCGAAGCTATGGCAGACATGGAGGACAGGTCGCGAAGGAACAATGTGAGGTTCCGAGAGATAGCGGAATCTGTCCTGCCTGAAAAACTCTACAGTTACATCACTACCATGTGTGCAGTGCTGGCCCCTACAGTCAGCGGCAATGCATGGGAGATTGATAGAGTGCACCGACTACCAAAGCCACCGCGCTTAGCTCCAGACATCCCACACGATGTTATCACTATTTTAAATCTAAAGATACCCTCCTCCAAGCGGCGAGGGCAATGAACAACTTACCGGCCCCATATGAAGGTATAGCATTGTATGCAGATTTATCTGCCTTAACTATGGCCCGACGCAGAGACTTCTCTACAATTATGAAAATGCTGCGCAATCACAAGCTGGCTTATAGATGGGGATTCCCCACGAAGCTACTGGTATGGCGTAATGGCAAACTACACGTGTTAGCTGATCCGGATCACAGACTCACCGTCCTGAAGGAATGGGGCCTATGGGATCCCCAAGGCATGGCTAAACCTCCAGGGACCTCCCCACAGTGAATCCGTCCAGAATGGAAGATGGTGGGACAACACAACGCTAGACCGACACAAGGCACCAGTTCCTAAAGATTAATTATGAGGGACTTACACCACTAAGATGATGCCCGACTATTCATCTATTGACTTTTCACGATCACTGACGAATAGCTGTCTACAGGACTGGTATTGTTTATCCAACAGCTTATTTGAATACTCTGTACACATTATGTTCCCGTCCCCTCTATTGCTTGGGTACCCAAACACCTTCAGGTGTAATATTGTGCAGATAAGGGCAGTGACGCCTAGCTGCCAGATCCCAGTTCCCACCGCTTCCCACCTGCCTAAAATAATCATAGGGTGTGTGCACTCCTAATCACCACGAGACCGACACGTGAGAGGGCAAAAACAACAATATCTCTAATATGCTACCCACTACCATCCAGGGGTAGTTTGACAGTCCCAAAAATTTACAGGGGACACGCTGGGGAAACGGGGTCCAGTTGGCAAGACGCCAAGACTGGTAAATATATGACACTAAGGGCCTGAACCCAGCCCTTCACCCGTCTGGTCTACAGTACTGGGACACGTTAAGTAATAAACCTTACTGACCATGAGACTATATAGTACAAGGCCATGCTCAGAAAGTTAGGGCCTACTCATGACCCCCATCCTTTATTGTTATACATCGGCAAAGTCTGGCCAAAAAAATAAAAAAATAAATTGATTGCAATACCTCCCTGACACCGCGTTCCTACGCATGAATGTGCTGAAACGTTACTTGTTAACATTACTAAGGCTCGGGAGCGAGCTAGCTCCACACGACCCCCCCTACTAGGATGCTTTCTGGGAGTGCGCTAGACAGCTCCCCAGTACATCCACGATTATACTCTCACTGGAGAGTACTATGTATATACTTTATTTGTACTGTTCATATTTATATTTATACTTTGTTTTTTCTTACCCTTAACCTTCCCAAGTTTTTACTCATCTCACGACCAAGGCAGCTTGCCATTGACTAGGTCCCAGGTAACTGACTCTCGTATATATCACACAGATCTCACCCACTACGGATACAATCATTGGAGTAGGTGTATAGCAGCCCATGTCCTAAGGTTACGCGGCCAAATAACGATCTATCACCTCCTATAGAATGACACACCAATTTAAATGTCTCTCCCTGAACGTCAATGGCCTGAATAGCCCGTTCAAGAGGCACTCGGCCATGAGAGAGATACACAATTCTAAAGCAGCAATAGTCTGCTTACAGGAAACTCACCTATGTACACAACACCCTCCGGCCTTCAAACCAACCTGTTACCCTCAAATTTTCCATGCGCTCTCACCACACAAATCCAAAGGAGTCTCTATATTGTTTCACCAAGATTGGGTCTTTCAACAGACAGGGATGTACCAGGACAAATTGGGAAGGTTACTAATAAGGAAGGGCAATCAGGACAAAGAGCGCCTGCTAGAGGAACTCACACGTATAGAGGCTAAAAACAAACTCAACCCATCAAAAAAATTGATTAAACAAATTAACAAAATAAACTCAGAACTACATGCATTAGCCCTAACCACTATGGAAAGACAAATGCGTAAACTCAACCTAACTCATTACATGCAGGGTAATAAGGCAGGCAAATCATTGGCACGTCGCTTGAAAACACACTATCTGCAGTCTAAACTACCATACATGACTTCAGCTACCAACCATAAGCTATACAATCCCCAAGATATAGTAGAGGAGCTAGCCTCCTACTTCGACACGCTCTACAACTTACATAGAGCAAATGACACATACCAGCCATCCAAGGACGAAATCCTTGATTTTCTAAGTAGTGTAGACCTGCCCCTCCTAACAGACGCTCAAAAACTATCCCTTCAATCACCATTTACAGAGGAAGAAGTGCACAAGACCGTTAGCTCACTTCCCAAACGTAAGGCACCAGGCCCAGACGGATTCCCGAATTCCTTCTACACAACGCTTATCACTCAACTAACGCCGCACCTCACCAAGATATTTAACCACATCAAAGACTCTGGGAACATCCCGACCGAAATGCTCCTAGCACATGTAATAACACTTCCGAAACCAGGGAAGCCCCCAACAGAATGCGCTAACTTGAGACCAATCTCTTTATTAAATGCTGACACCAAATTGTACGCAAAGCTCTTAGCTACACGCATCAAGCCGATGCTACTAGATATGGTATCACAGGAACAAGCTGGGTTTGTCCCAACCAGACAACCAGGAGATAACACACGCCATTTCTTAAACCTGATTCAATGGGCACTAAATACCCAACAACAGGGCATATTACTAGCACTCGATGCTGAAAAGGCATTTGATCGCCTAAATTGGTCTTATATGTCAGCAGTTATGACCAGAATGGGGTTTCCCCGTTCCAAAAGCGTAATGGCCATGTACTCCAACCCTTCGGCTAAGGTATATAACACCGGCTTCCTTTCCAGGCCATTTCAAATAGCTAACGGCACCAGGCAAGGCTGCCCCCTCTCCCCGCTGATATTCATCCTTTGCTTAGAACCACTGATTAAACATATCAAAACACTAGACACGATCAAGGGATTACACACACCGACAGGGACCATGAAAATCGCTCTATTCGCGGATGACATCCTGCTATTTATTACTGAACTCTCTCAATCCCTCCCCAATTTACTGGCACTTTTGGACAGATATGGCAAGGTGTCATATTATAGGAATAATGCGAAAAAAATCACAAGCCCTAGCAATCCGCCTGCCACACCACACACTACAAACCCTTAAATTCGAATATCCATTCGACTGGCGTAACTCATCGATCTCGTGTCTAGGTATTCAATTACCTGCTACACCCACATTAGTAACAAAAGTAAATCATATCCCACTTTTACAGAAACTAGATCTCCAACTCAAACAATGGAACGATAAAGGATCCTCTTGGCTGGGTCGCATAAACACTATTAAGATGATGATTATGCCACACATCTTATACCTCTTCCGTACCTTGCCGATAGCGATCCCAAACACGATAGTGAAAATATTCCAATCAACCATAAACGCACATATCTGGAAGAGAAAACCCCCACGAGTCTCGCAGAAATTGATCTGGAGACCCTTCTCGGAAGGAGGCCTCAGTGTGCCCAATGTTCAGCTATATTATAAAGCCTCAATACTGGCACAGGGCCTAACGGTCCTGGAAGGTACGGCACCTCCCATCTGGCTGGCACTTGAAAATGCCTGCATGACACAAGGAACGGTGGAAGATGCCCTATGGGCATACTCAGACCGGCAGATAAAGGACGTTAATATATTACCTCCGACAAAACTGATGCTCCATATATGGAGACAGACGATCCTAAAATTGGTTATAAGCAAAGACCTCCTGTATGCCGCACCCCTGCAATCGCTAACACTCCCCACATATATTATCTATGCCTCGACACATGGGTACGACATGGCATTCTACATGTGAGCACCCTGTTCGATGATGCGGGAGTGGCACCTTTCCCAACACTACAACAGACCTTCACCCTCCCGTCTAGGGAACTATTCACATACCTACGCATAAAAAAACATCTTACATGATCATAAACTACATAGAGGCAGGAATTCCCCATCGCCACGATTTCTCCTTCTCCTTTGATAACTAAAGGGTATCAAAGCATTGTCTTTTTGTTACACCTCACTTATGAACATAGTAGACAAGGAAATTCCTTCATACATGAGCTCTTGGGAGAAGGATCTACATACACAAATTAGCCAAGATACGTGGTGGAGGGCTCTGGGAAGGGTGAAAAAAGCCACATACAGCCTGGCCCATAGAGAGGCGTTCTGTAAATTACTTATGAGGTGGTATATGGTGCCGTCACGCCTAGCGCATATTTACCCAAACACGTCCCCCATGTTCTGGAGATGCCATGACAACGAAGGCACACTACTCCATGTATTTTGGACATGTCCGAAAATAGGTAAATTCTGGGACGCAATAGAACAGTTTCTCTTAAAGGAGCTGAAGGTTAGAGTACCAAAATCCCCAGAATGCTACCTACTCCACATCTTCCCCCATTCACCCAGGGAGGACGAACTACACATACTCACTCACTGTCTCATTGCAGCCAAAATAGCAATAGCACACAGATGGAAACAACCGCAAAGCCCAAACCTAACGGAAGTCCTCACACGTCTCGACAAAACGTGCAACTTTGAACGAATGGCCAGCCGCCTCCGAAGCATACATATACTAGGCATTGGCAATGCTGGGTTCAGTTTAGAGGCCAACAGGGCTAATGACCAACCCTATGATCCATCAGGACCCTGGAGGAACTACACCATAACGCTACCTTACCTCACCTACACCAACCCCACACTACCAACAACCCTTTAGTGCAGGAGTCAACTTCAAAAACAGGCCAGACAATGAGGCAGTTAGAACCCTAGGTGCAACGGTTGTAGTAAAAGGCCCCATGGACATCGACAGGATTGGTAACCTACCATGATATGCCACAGAACCATATTAGCAGGGTTTCGGGTATTTGACCAGCGACGGGTCCTTAGACCAACAAATGTACCCTTTTATAACAAATTGACACAGGATGAATATGTTAGTATGAAGTCATGCTATCCGATCCTAAATCACCATAGCTTAGGCCTACTCGCAATGTATCCCTAACCCACACTGTTCATGCACTGCGTTAATGTACATGTAATATTTGTATTTAATATTTGTATTGTATATTTGATCTGCGCTGTCAAGTAGCCTGTTTGGCTCTATACAATGTCTGCATCCCCCTCCCCTTTTGCTTTCTGTACCCCCCCCACCCCCATCCCTGTTTTTCTCTGAGTTGATGAATATGAAAAAGCTCAATAAAAATTTAAGACACTGAAAAAAAAAAGTTCAATTTACAGAGCAGGAGGTAAAAACTTTTAAAGTACGTTATATCTGATTGAAAATGAAATATTTTTTTTCATGCAGGCTGTGTCAGTCCCAACCAGGGGAGGTGTGGCTAGGGCTGCATAAACAAACAAAGTGATTTAACTCCTAAAAAGCAGAGAATTGTACATTATGCTAACATAGTGTACCTATAATCTTAATTTTAATAATGACAGGAGGCTTCATATTTTGCATAACTTTCTTTACTTTATTCCTCCAGCAGCACAAGTCAATTATAAAACTTTAACCAATCAAAAACAAGTAATACATTCCATATAAAGCCCTGACAGGCATAGCTCCCTCCTCTTTGATGCGAAAACAGTCTACAATAACATCCCTAACCATAACGAAAATCTTGAATAACTTTGGTATCCATAACTCGAGCTGAAGAGTGAAGTAGTCCGATCCTGAGGCCAGCAACGAAGCTTACACTGAAAAGAACAGAAATAAGTGAAAAGTGGTGGGAATGAACTGTTGTCCACATATTAACCCTAATTTAATCAAACAATATGTGAACATTTCTAATAAACATATTCGTATATCATGAATCCATACATCACATTGAAGGATTAAGCAGTAATACATTTTATCTACTATATGTAACATGACGAGTTATAGGGGGGGAAACCCTGGGAGGGAAAATACTCGCCTCATGTCATTATTAATATTATAGGTACACTACGTTGGCATAATCTACAATTTTACTACATGACAGGAGGCTTCCTATTTTGCATTTTTAACGCTGTGGTAAAAAAGTAAAGGACGTGTGCAAAGTCTGACGGAAATAAAACCTCTAAAAGTATCTTCCCGCGTCCAGTCTGCCGCACAGAGAATATCGGCCAGGGATGCCCCCACCGTGAAATCCCAAGATGCAACCGCGCCCCGTACTGAGTGAGCGCTGAAATACAGCTCCATGTCGGCAAAAAAAAAAAAAAGCAAACATACCCAGTCCATACAAACCATACTGGTTTGTATGGACTGTTATAAGAAACGAGAAGTTGACCAGATTGCGAATATCGAAGGGTTTTGGTAACCTCCACGTACCTTACCAATGCAAAGGCTTACCAACACACACAGACGGGAAAAATGGGTAATACATGGATGCAGAGTTAGTCTTGGTTCCGCATGATACTGTAAAGGAAACTCTATCCGGAGATACCAAGAACCCGTCCACTTTGAACGTTGGAGACTCGTTGAAAAGAAACAAGGCATAAAAGTAGTGTGAGTTTGGCAGAGCGCTTTTGGAATGAAAGGTCTGAATTATCCGGCCAATTTCGCAGGAAAGTAAGAACTAAATCTACGTCCCATAACAGAGTATACTTCGGACATGGTGATCTAGACAGTTTGATACCTCGCAGTAAGCAGCATATCAAGGGGTCCTTGTGACGAGAGCAATCTCGCCACATTGCATTGGAGAAGCCTGGTTGCTCGCCTGTTGCCTTTAGATTATGGCCCCATGTTAAAAGGCTTGATTTTCCCTTGCAAAGACAAGAAAGCCGGGTCATTTGGTGCTTGCCCTGTTTGAGCCGTGATACCCCAGATAGCTATGCCATGGAGCCCATTCGTATAATGAAAGATTTTGGCTCCATGGCAATTGAACTGTATGTGTGTGCTCTGAGCGCCATTCAGTAATAATGTGCGCTCAGACCTAAGCTATCTGGGCATATGTTGCATGTCTGTATTTTATGTCATAAATGTAACATTGTGTATTTTGTATTTTACTGTCTTTTTTGCTGCCATGTGTTCAATGGAGTTTTGCCTCTGTCTTTGGAGATAATTGGATTACTTCTAATTATCTCCAGGATAGAAGACTCTGTGGAACTGGTTTTGGGCAGAAAAGCCATGCTTCCTGTGGTCACAAAGGACTACAATCTATCTTTTGAACCACTGGACCAATTTGTATGATTTTGACGTATGTTTGTATTTGGAGTGTGCTGAAAATGTAAGTTTTATGTGAATGTGATGCATACTTTTCAAGTTATGAATAATGTGGAAAAATTGTATTTCTCTGCTTGTGCTAAATTACATTAACCATTGTGTACGATAATTGAATCACATGCAGAGGGGAGGAATTTGTGTGGGAGTGTCTGAGTGTATTGTATGTGTTTATTGGTTGTGTTCCAAAACCCTGTGGGTGGTACTAATGTGTACATAAGCACAATAAACCCACAGCTCTGGCTGTTCACTGCTTGACCCTCAACACGGAGCTTTGTCTCGTTCTTGTCTTGGGGGGATTTATTGTATGCTGTTCCAGTTTGACTGCTAGGAGTGTAAACCTATTCGTATGGTTTTTCCTATTCGGCTGTTTACAGCATTCATATGGTTTCCTGTTCGGCGGATTGGTGTTCTGCAGTAGCTGTGCCTGTGTCTCTGGAAAGAGGGACGATCGCCTAAACGGTTTTTACCCCTTGTGAGCAAAACAGTCCGTTACAGTCCTGTCCGACAGGGATGCCCCAAAGTGGTACGTGAGCCGCCGAAATCGCTGACCGAATCACAAAAATGGAGTGGTAAGAACGACCCGATGAAAAAAGGGGAGTTAGAAAATTTAATACCACGGTGATAGGTGATGTAAAGGGATTATAGTCACTCTTCATAGATCCCGGTGCTGTCTCGCCAGTGGTGAGAGAACTAGTCCGCCGTGAGGTTGCTGATCCCTGGGAGACACTCCGCTCTGATCGTGATGTTGTGGGGAAGACAGAATCGATAAATGTCTCTTGTCACCACCATCAGGGCACGTGATCTGGCTCGCCCAGGCGGTTTATGTATTGAACCACTGAGATATTGTCCATGCGTAAGAGGATACAGCAATTGGACATGTTCTTGGCTAGACTGCGGATAGCCAATGATCCCACGATCAATTCCAGGCAGTTTATATGAAGGAGACATGTGCGCAATATGCTCACCAACCCCAAAGGCTGGCGTCCGCCTCCACTATGAAATCTGGAGTTGATCTGAAGATGGGTCTGCCGTTCCTGGCTTCCATGTGTAGTAGCCACCAAAGCAGCTTTGTTCATATCCTCTGCCAAGACCGGTATCCAGTGGTCGTATGAGTGTCCGGATTGCAGATAATGGGCCTTCAGCCGCTGAATGGCCCGGTAGTGCGACAGGACCGGGAAGATCACTTAGATAGAAGAAGACAGCAGTCCCACTACTCTGGCAAGGAGTCGAAGAGGGTTGTTGTCTTTCTGAAGTACAGTATCTCCTTTTGAATTGCGGCTATTTTTGAAGTGGGGAATCGTAGCACGCATGTTCTCGAGTCTATTTCGAATCCGAGGAATTGGATTACTCGGGATGGAGATAATGCCGATTTCTGTCTGATAACTACA